ATATATATGTATATATAGAGAAGACATATGTTACACATATAGAAACTACTTCGGGTTTGAAAAGGTTAAGCTAATCGTCCATTACCGGGAGCCTGTCGGACTGGAAAGAAACCGGATCGGTTAAAAATCCGAATCGAAGGGAGGATGATGTGTGTGTACGTGTGTTTTTGCGTGTGTGTGATAACGTTTGTTCGGGACCGTTTCGGGATTGTCTATGACCGAGATTCACTTCCTCGCTGTCTCACATTCACATCAACTCGTTCTTTCTCTTTTCTGGAGGGGTGTGGGGGGTTTCTTTCTCGTTTTTTTTTTTCATTTGGCTTTTGTTTTCGTCTCGGTCGGTGATGGTAGTAGTAATAGTAGTAATAGTAGTAGTAGTTGATTTGCTTGAAAGGACAGCCAGCGACAATTGGGAAACAGATGTTGAGCGGAGTTGTGTCTGCAGGATACTCGGGGTTAAACTGGACCTGGAAGGCAGGACCTGGAAATAAAGGATTAAGATCCTCTTCCGTCTCCGCTGGGGGGACGACGAGGGTGTCGTCTTCCGGTATCCGTGGCTATCGACTATGGCCGCCTCCTCGACCCCTCTCGATCGTCGTCTCGTCGTCGACGTCTTCTCCTCGTGCGATCTTACGACTACGCACGACCTGTTTCGCTATAAACTAGAGATGGCGTTACGCGACGAAACCTTACTACTCGCCGTACACCTGGTCTCTCTCTCTCTCGCTCTCTCTCTCTCTCTCTCGCTCTCTCTCTCTCTCTCACTCTCTCTCTCCCTCGCTCTTTTGACGATGTACTCTCGCGTGACCACCAACGCGACTACACTCGCGTTCTACACGCTCTCTCTTTCTCTCGTCTCGCCGAGAAACACGAGTAGTAGTGTATCTTCCTCGTCGTAACGTCACCTCTCCTGTAACGTCTCTCGCGACGACACGCGCTGCAGATGACTTTCCCGACGGCCGATCGCTCTTCCAGCAACGAAGCGACCTTACCCCCCGATATACCCGCCGCATATCGACATTTTATATTTGTTCAAGAAATAAGATACACCTGCTCCCTTCTCAAGGATGGCCGGACGGGAGACGAGAGACACGGTTAAAAGCGCGCTTTTTACACTCCCTTAAAATTCTATTTACATTTTATTACAGCTCCATGAGAGACATAATTCACGATCTCGGTTCCAACTCGAGAGGGAGGGAACGAAAGTCATCTGCTTGCGGGTCCTCGCGAGCAAGGATGGCAATGAAGATGATGGGGGGGGTTGCCGCGAGGGAGATGCCAATTTGATTATCCTTTATATAGTCTCGTCACTAAGACACCAAAAAGGTCGAATGAAGCAAATAGTGAGGTCGATGTGAGGTAATACAATAAAGTAACACAAAAACAGGCGGCGAATCAGCCGGGTTCCTGAATCGAGTAGGGGGGCTTCAAAGGGACGAGAGGCAACGAGAAGTCTCTCTACGCCGACTACACGCGCGCGCTTCTCGGTGCGGGCGTTGGTCGACAGAGACACGAGGGGGGTAGAACAAAAAGAAAATGGAGAGACAGAAAAAAGAAAAAAAATATGTATACATGTATATATATATATATATATAGAAGAAGAAGAAGACGAAGAAGAAGAAGAAGAGATCGAAGAGGGTAAAAAATACACATTGCGATCCACTGTGCTGAAAGAAACGTAGCCGGGACGAGACGTTCGACTGCTTCTGTTGGAAATGGCAACAACTTGTGGTGACACGAGAGACACACACACGTACACCGAAAGCTGAACCTCGGACGAACCTCGCGAAGCCTCCGGCTTCTCTCTTCCTCCTGTGTCCGGCTCCCGAAGGTTCAGGCCTTCGGGTGCTGAGAAGGTGGAGGGTAGGGGAACGACGACCGTTCCCCCTCCCGGGGGAGAATTGATTCGTATTCACACGTACCGCGACCGCGCGAGTCGCGGGGGGAGGGGGGGGGCTCCTCTCCACAGTTTGGTACTCACCTCATGTTGATGAGATACTGCGCTAACGCAACGGCGTCCGGATTCCCGGTTATGGTGATAGTACGATCCGTCGCTCCGCCCTCCCTCTCTTCGCAATTGCTGATTCGGATCATGGCGCCGGAGATCTGACGGATCTCGGCGATCTTGGTGCCGCCCTTGCCGATGATGCAACCGATCAGCTCGTTTGGCACGGTCATCTCGTGCGTCTGATTGTTCGCCGCCGGTTGCTGCCGGTTCGTGTTGCTCGTACGGAGCTGGCTGCCCGCCAGCGCTGCCAATGCTACGAGACAGGCATCGGGAGAGATTGCGCAAATATTAGAAGAGTTACACACTCGCACCGGGCCGTAGGTATACACGGCGGAATATGACGTAAGGGGAGAGGGGGAAGGTGGCAAGTATCGATAAACCGAAGAGCGAGAGCGGACGAAGCAGCGGCGGGCCGTCGTCTCGGTGTTCTCTATCGCGGAAGTCGGAACGATTCCCGCAAGACCGTTCCCGGTAAGTCAGCCGCGTTAATCGAAGTTAACCGCGGACTTCAACCGGCGCACTTCGTCTCTCCCCGTCTCTGCTTCTGTCTCCGGGAACTCCGGGGGAACTTTAACGAACGTTTGCGGTAACTGTCCACGGATAAATTGTAACTTCCCGTTGTAACGAGTATATCACAGCGTCGTCGGTGCTCTCTCTCTCTCTCTCTCTCTCTTTCTTTCTCTCTGTTCGCGATGTTTCCTGATCGATAAAGTTTGTTCGCGAAGAGAGTTCGAACGTCGCGGTTCGTTGTCGTTCCCCGACTGGAAAACTTGCTTCCGACTTCCGATTTCGAGTGCGCATCTTGACACACACATCCACTTCGTCCGGACGACTCTTTTTTTATATTTTTTTTTTTTTGATCGGGTCGACGCTTCGAGAAGAAGACTGGTAACGAGGCAGAAGAAAGGGAACGAATTGGCACGAGATAACTCAAAATGTACCGTCTGAGAAATCCAAGGATAGCTTCGAGCAGATATACTTGGAGAAACACCCCAGTGTGTCTATCTTAGGATGATTCTCACCACCTTCGATTTAAGATTAACCCGAGTGGTTAGCTCAACGGAATTGACCAATCGCATTCGCCAATTAGCTAAACTGATCAGCGCGATTGGTCAATTCCGTTGAGAATTGATCAGTCGGTTGAGTTCGCGCAATCGGAGTTGGCGCAAGCCACCCTTAAGGGGCTACTTACACCCGAGAGGCCCGGAAAACGCCTGATGTTTGAATTTTTCTGCCGTCTATATTATTGATTTTATGAAGATGTCCCTTTGAAGGATGATTCTTCATACTTTTATTTACATATTCCTCGGAGCCCATTAAAAGATATATAATGCTGTAATTATTATTTCTGTGAAGTTCACCGTAATCACTATTCGGTGACGAAAATATCTCGTTAACTATTGATTTAGCTGTACTTTTGTATATTCTTAACAAGATTATTTAATCTTCGTCGTGGGATTCTCTTGATATCTACTATAGTAATAAAAACTAGATCTGGTAATGAAATTTCAATTGTACAATATAGGCAACTAATTCTTTCTTTCCATGTATATTGTAGCCCCTCCCCCCTCCCCCCTTAATCTCTCCTAAACACACTTGTATCTTAGTTATTTACTCGGATATTCACTTTGAATCGACTTGAAACTACTCAGCCAGTCCGACCCGCTAAGAACGCACGTGAAACGCGTATCGCGAAAACACAAAGCTCAAACCGCCCACAGCGGTCGAAACTTATCGTACATCGAGAGGCACGAGCAAAGTGAAACGCGAGAGATGCGAGAGAGAGAAAGAAGCAACGTTCCCAATCCTTTCCACGTCAGCTTCCTAACGAGATCCGGAGAGCAGTGTTGACGAGCAGTCGCGCCCCGCGTATAAGGTAACTACGGATAGGAGTCCGTCGGCTACAACTCGCTCTCGCTCGCTTACCTGCTGGATTAAGACCTCCGGTGTTCGCCGGTGTAGCAAGTCCTCCGAGGCCCAACGCCGCCAATCCAGCAAGAGGGTTACTTCCCAGCTTGCCCATCTGCAACAACGACGAAGAGATCCATCGCTCAAAAATGGGGTGCCGCGGGCGACAACGATCACTCGGGGGGTCGTGTGTGCGCTCACAGGACGTACGGACGAAGAACGGGGG